TTCATCTTTAATCCCACCTCCATCTTACCCCACACATACTCAATAATGTACATTTTAGGAGACTGGGCTGGCCAATACCAAAGCACCTTGACCTTCTTTGCTTTCAGGAGCTTTGATGTGGAGGCTGAAGTATGAGAAGCGCTATCCTGCTGAAGAATTTGCTCTCTCCTGTGGTTTGTAATGTAACAGGCAGCAAAAATGTCTCGATACCTCAGGCTGTTGATGTTGCCATCCACTTCGCAGATCTCCTGCATGCCCCCATACTGAATGTAACCCCAAACCATGGTTTTTCCTTCACCAAATTTGACTGATTTCTTAGAATCTTGGTTCCAATGGGGTTCCAGTAGGTCGTCTGCAGTATTTGAGATGATTGGGATGCAGTTCAACAGATGATTCATCAGAAAAATCGACCTTCTGCCACTTTTCCAAAATGGTCAACTAGAAGTCAAGTTATTTGTTGCTCTTACAACTGTAATTGACGACAAGACTATATATACACACACATGTATGTTTGTGTGTGACCCAAAACAATAAAATCAATCATAAAGTGTTTTTTTACATTACCTAATTATTCATTCCCTTTATATAGTCCCTTTATTAATCCGGGGTCGCCACAACAGAATGAACCGCCAACTTATCCAGCAAGTTTTTTTACGCAGCGGTTGCCCTTCCAGCCACAACCCATCTCTGGGAAACATCCACACACACACACACACACATTCACACACACACACATATACTACTGACAATTTAAGCCTAGTTCACACTACAGGATTTTAAACATCAGCAGATCGCTGTGCCGTTCACACTACATGACCTGACTTTGTGTCTTTTAATCTCCGTGGTGTTCACACTACGCAACACTCCGTGAACGATCCACAAGAGGGGGGTCACACACTACATGATCTGACAACAACTCATTCCCCATCAGTTCATTCAAGCTACCAAACCACAGCCAATGAAATTTTGAGGGAGGAGTCGTCAGAAAAAGCTGAACACTATTGGCTGCTTGTGTGCGGATTACATCACTGACAGCGTTTCAAGCTTTGGAGAAAGCATTTAAAAACATCGTCAAATCAGCTGATTTATCAGTGGATTAATCACTCATCTGCAGGTTCCAGTGGATAGATACACAGAGAGTTTTTAATTTTTGTAATTTTATAACTCTTTGAAATAAAACTAACATATTTATAATAATACTTTTCACTGTGACTTTAAATATGTGTGCATTTTCTTGCCTAGCAACTTCCTGCTAACATAAACAAAACTTTCTGATGGCAAAAACATCAATTTACTTTAGATATATTTAAAAACTGCACATTCTGTGCTGTGAAATAGCTCCTGTTTGAAAGTGAAAATGAAAGCCAAGACCTTTAAGTGTTTTAGTATCTTAACTACATATTTATAGGCTGTATTACAAAAAAAAGATTATATTTTTAGGGTAATGGTGTCATTAAATATGATGCCAGACATTCAAAGCTTAATTTTAATATCTCAATAATAGCTTTGAATGTAAATATGTTGTGACAATATGGCGTTTAATATGAGAACGGTCAGAATGAGCAGTATGGTAATTCTAATAGTTACAGAATTCTAGTTCCACTGTTAATATATCCTCCGCTCATGTCTGTGCTAACGCAGAATGAAGCCAGTGCACCGATGCCCATTCTGACCAATCACAGATGTTTCTGCTGAGCCTCTGAACACAAAGGCACGCGGCTCATGCTGATATGCTCTCTTATTGGCTGCAGCTCGTCGCTACATCTGATCACACGTGAGGTTGAGTCGGCCGACTGCTCTGGAATATTTAGCATGCTGAATGTTGGATTTCCGTCTGCGAGGTGTCGGCGACGCGTCAGCAAGCCTCGTTGATGCGTTGTTCAGTAGTTCACACATAAAGAGCGGCGAGCGCCGCTTTAGTGGCGCCGCTTTAATCCTTTAGTGTGAACTAGGCATTAGCCTACCCCAGGGGTGTTCAAACTCGGTCCTGGAGGGCCGGTGTCCTGCAGATTTTAGCTCCAACTTGCCTTAACACACCTGCAAGCATGTTTCTAGAAAGCCTAGTTAGAGCTTGATTAGCTAGCCCAGGTGTGTCTGATAGGGGTTGGAACTAAACTTTGCAGGACACCAGCCCTCCAGGACCGAATTTGGACATGCCTGGCCTACCCAATTCACCTGTACCGCATGTCTTTGGACTGTGGGGGAAACCAGAGCACCCGGAGGAAACCCACGCGAACGCAGGGAGAACATGCAAACTCCACATAGAAATGCCAACTGAGCTGAGGCTCGAACCAGCGACCCAGCAACCTTCTTGCTGTGAGGCGACAGCACTACCTACTGCGTCACTGCTTCGCCCATTACCCAATTAAGAATGCAAATAAATAAGCTTTCTATTGATTTATGGTTTGTTGAGATGTGACAATATTTGGCACAGATAAACTTGTTTGAAAGTTCAAAAACACCTAAACATTGAGAAAAATCAATTGAGTTAGGGTTGTCTAGGGTTGAAAAGTTGTCTTAATTAAGTTCTTAGCAATAGGTTACCAAACAAAATTGGAGTTTTATTATATTTATACTATATTTAAACACTTACAAAATATCTTTGAGCTTTACTTAATATTTTAATCCATTAAAAGAAAAGATTTTAACATTAACATTAAACATTATACAATATCTATATTGATATTTAACATTATACAAATGTATTTTTAGCTATGCATGCAACAAAAATCACATATCAGCAATATCATACAGAGATTCCTGCTTTACTGAACACTACTAAAGATGGTGTTGACTCAATAAGTGTGCTTTAATTTAGTGCATAACACAAGATGTGCTTCAGAATAGTCATAGCAGTGCTAAAAAAAAGCACAGGGTTGTACCTGCAGTTTGGAAGCTCCACCTTTAATGAGACCACAGATAATCTGCTCCACCCTCTCAGGGTCTCTGATGTGAACGGTGTTTTTCTCGAACTCTGGCATCTGCAGCAACAAGAAACAACCAATGAGATCGAGGCATTCAGTGGTGTGCTGAAATATTCCCTCCCTTCTCCCTAAAGCCTTGCTGATGTCACTGTCAGGAGGAGGAGCCAAAGGAGAGCAGACGCTGCAGTCTCACAACCATACAGAAGAAACACACACAAGCTGCAGTCTTTAAGAAGAAATCCACTGAGGCAGAAGACAATAATAAACCACAGGTAAACATTTTCTGGAATCATTGTGTCAATTTGTGCTAATAATCATCATGATTTACTGTATTATTGTTTAATTTAAATGTCCAGCATTAAGCAATACATTCTAAAACACCTTTTGCTTAATAATAATTGTGCTTATGCTGTTGTATAAATATATCTTAGAGACATTTTTTGTATACTGGTTAGTTTTAACAGGGATGGTTCACCAAATCTCTATTTTTAAACACTATTTACTCACCATCAAGGGGTTCCAAACCTTTACAAGTTTCTCTATACTGTTAAGGCCAAAATAACATTTTAAAGATAGCAGAAAACCTGAAACCATTGACTTCCAAAGTTGCAAAAAACAACTGCTATGGAAGTAAATGGTTACAGGTGTACAGCATTTTTCAAAATATCTTCTTTTGTGTTCAACGGAAGATAGAAAGCCAAACAGGTTTGAAACAAGTGAAAGGTGAGTAAATTATGACAGAACCTTCAGTTTTGGGTGAACTATCTCTTTAACTGCTGTTAACTGTAATTTAGACAGTGTTGACTTGTCATTTGCCAGTGTCAAAGTTAAGTCCCTCCTTATCCTGATTCCAAAAATACAGTGGACAACATACTCCAAATACACTGGATGTACCTTGTGATCTTAAAAATACCCCAACCCCCATCTCAAGCCTCCCAAATGGAAACCAGATCCCTTATATTTACATAAGTTGCATAAGAAAGATTGCGCAGATATTCAAATTAAATTAAAACAAGCTCCCATAGAACTCACAGACTCAAACATATTACATTTAAGAAGCAACAAACATTTACAGTCAACCACAATGACCATTGTTTATTATACAACATAAATTATGCAGCTCGGTACGTCCAACACAAACTCGCAAGAATGCAAAAGCATCCAAACGTCAAATAACTTGTCGTGAATATGGATTTGACTGACATTTACTGCAGGACACAAGTAAACAAATATCAAGTCCAATAATAACTGGGTGTAAAAATAGCCTGTAACCGTACCTTTTCCTCTTCCAGGCGTTGTGTCAAAGAGAAGAAAAAGTTTCTTGTCTGACACGCACTTATATAGCCCTGCCACAAAGGAGGCGTTGCCTCAAAACCGATAACACCCCATAATCTAAACCCCTGCAGGGAGTCACATGACCCAAACACCCTTCTTAAAGACACACGGAAAATATAGAAAGCCAAAATACTGTGATAATGACACAACTGAGGTTCAGATGCAGTTTGGAGGTTTAAACTTTTTATTAAAGGCTAACTCCACTTTTTTGGAAATGGACTTATTTTATAAGTCACCTAGAGGTAGAGAGTTGAGTTGTACTATTTTTTTAACCCCTTCAGACCTGAATTATGTTCCAAATTTCAGAAAAATGGGACTGGGTCAGGGTCTGCAGGGGTTAATTCATCCAGAACCTCTCCAGGGGCCTCATGTATCAACGCTGCGTACGCACAAAAACTTTGCGTACGCCAGGTTTCACGCTCAGAATCGCTCACGTTTGGATTTACTAACAATGAACTGAACGTGGGAATGTGCGCAGGTTCACGGCAGCTTTCTGGCAGGCGTACGCACATTTTTTGTGCGTGTCTGTTTTATTTCCATTGGCGACTCCTAGAGGCAGTTGTGTTAAATTCCTCTCTACAAAGTGTCTGAGCCTTGCAATGGCAGCTGTATGAGACGGGTTTATCTAGTAGGTATGTAAGATTTCCATACCATACAGTTGACCAGCTAAACATTAAAGCACAATTTGCAGTGGTCGCCTGTTTTCCCAATGTAATCTGAGCGATCTACCGCACGCACATTGCTATAAAGACACTATCTGAAGATGAATTTGCATGCGTGAATCAGAAAAATTTCCATCCAATAAATGTGCAAATAAAATATGATGCACAAACTTATTGATGATTCCTACTAGTCTTTCTCTTGATAAATAGTGGGCAAAATCTGATATGTAGCGGGGAAAAAAAAAGAAGAAAGAGTTCATCAGACGCTGGATTCGAGCCGAGTTTATGCTCGAACGTGTCAAAACATGATCATACGCGTCTTACGAGCGCGCCACTGAAACTACTAAGTGTACTGCAACATTTTACAGATATAAACCACACTATTTCTTGTTTAAATGCACTCAGTGCAATGTTCAGACCCAACTGTGTTAACCGTATCAGCTAAACTCTCCCACTCTATTTTTTTCTTTTGTTGTTAATTCCGGTCTACCTCCGAAAGCAGCACCTCCATTTCACATTCTGTTCAAAGTTTCTCTTTTTGCTTGATTTTGCCGTTGCTTTTTCGTTGGGTTTTGCCATTAGCATAGTCATTAGCATATTCATACGGGGGAGGAGGCAGGGAGGGGTTTTGTGCTCGTGCATGTTGCGCTCAGTTTCACGTTCATTCAGATGTACAAAAGAATATGCGTGAGATTCGGCGTACGCAGTGTTTCATACATCTGAATTTTTTTCTGCGTACGCACATTTACAGCTTTGTGCGTACGCAATGTTTTAGTAAGATTTCCACGCAAGTCTTCGTACATGAGGCCCCAGGTGTGGTGGGAGCACTTTTAGCTTAGAAAAATCGAATCGAAAAAATGGAATCGGATTAGATTATTAGCATCTTGCTCATAAAAACAAACAAAAAAGGAGGACTTTTCCTGTAGTTACATCATGCACTTATGCTGTGTTTTTTGGCATTCGCATGCCAAATTCGCTTCATTCGCGCGCCAAATTCGCTTCATCTCGCGCCAAATTCCCTTCTTTTGCACGCCTAATTTCCTTCATTCACACAGCAAATTCCCTTCTTTTGCACGCCAAACTTGCTTCATTCGCGCGCCAAATTTGATTCATTTGCGCGCAAAATTCGCTTCATTTGCGCACCAAATTCGATTTATTTGCGCGCCAAATTCCCTTCATTCGCACGCCAAATTTCCTTCATTCGCACGCCAAATTCCCTTCATTCGCACGCCAAATTCCCTTCATTCGCGCGCCTAATTTCCTTCTTTTGCGCGACAAATTCCTTTTATTCACACGCCAAATTCCCTTCATTCACACAACAAATTCCCTTCTTTCGTGCGCCAAATTTCCTTCTTTCGCGAACCAAACTCGCTTCACAATAGATGTGGATCAACTCTATAAATTATACGTGGACGATGAAGGCTTTCAGACATGCTTCACACTGAGCCGAGCCTAGTTTGTTGAGCTATTGTCTGGTGTCAGCACCAGAAAGCACTTGAGCTTTCACATGTCAAAATGCTCAACTCGCCCTGCTTCATTCACATGAATCGCGTCATTTGCGCCGCAGGATGTTTATTCACATTTTTGCATTGACTTAAGTAAATCACTCAAGCTTGGCGCTTCATCCGCATCTGGTGAGAACGCAGCTAAAGTATGACAAAAATGTAAAGTTGCTAGTTTCTATGTCGATATGGGTAGAAAACCATTTTGGCATAATAATCAAGTTTTGCTGCTGCACCATGGCTGCAGTGGCACAATAATGCTAAGCAAAGTAGCTAGGGACTATTTTCAGGTATTGCTGCTGTACCATGGCTGTAGCAGGCCCTAAGTTCTTTGATCATTATGACAGAATGGGAATATAGTTCCTAGCCATATTAGCCAAACAAAATAGCAACTTTTAATTTTCTGCCAGTATTAGCACACAATGGACCAACAGAAGTGTCAAGCTTTAATTAGGAAAATTATCAAAAAAAAAAATATTTTATATATATATATATATATATATATTTTTTTTTTTAAGTGAGATGATAACGGTCTAATCTGATTCAATGATTTATGCTAAGCTAAATTCAAGGTGCTCCTGCCAAACCCTGAAATCGGACAAATAGATGAAAAATAGTAAAACTTTAGGGCAAACAACCTTGTCATTTTTTTTTTTAAATTAGCAAGATGCTAATGGTCTAATCCGATTAATTGATTTATGCTAAGCTAAGTTAAAGGTGCTCCTGTCAGACCTTGAGACCAGCCGAATGGATTCGAAAATAGTGAAAATTCAGGTCAAAAAACATTGTCTCCAGCTCAACAAAATAAATTATGCTGACCAAAGGACTGAGGTTATCTCACAGTGTCTGAATGTGCGGCATGTGTGGATTGTGTAGTTCAATAAGGTCAGGGTTTGCTCAAAGACTGCTCTACTCTGCATATGTTTATTTCATAATGTCAGAAACAAAAGTAATAAGCATTTTGAAGCTCCAAAGAGAAATTCATACATCTCTTTGGGGTTGAGTCATGTTCTAACATGCTATTGTGTTTCTGAAACAGGTTTTCATCTTTACACACTGATTCTTCAATGTATGAGGGCTCAATGAATGTCTCAAGACCATTACTGATACTGAGGATTGATACAACTCATCAAGCAAGAACATTTGAGCTTGTTTACCATATTTGAAGTGTGCTAATCAGTGTTTACATGCTAATGACAGGCAATCACATTAAGCAGTTGTGTCTCTATGTCTGAATTAAAACAATTTGACTTGTATGGGTTGTTTACATCGTCTTTACAAAGATTTTGAAGTGTGAAAGTTTTGGTGAAATGGACTTTCAGTGAAAGGACAAGAATCTCTCGGGTTTCAATCAAAACACATTAAAGCGGTACAGTAGTTTACCCCAAACTTTTGCCATTGTTTTTTTACTTGTTCTAAACCTGTTTTCTTTCTTCTGAACACACAAGGGAAGAAATACTCAAGAATGCTGGGGATAAAACAGCCATTAACTTTGATGTCATTGGCAGATTGTTTTGTAACCTTATTCAGAATATTTTGTTTGTGTAGGCAAAAACAATCCCTAAAGTTTATAACAAGTTGAGTAAATGTTGAGACTTTAGGTGAGATATCTCTTGTGTTTCAAAAGACAAAAACCTTTGAGCATGAGTAAAAGTTGAATTTTTAATTTCGTATGAACAAAGTTATCAATACCAAAATAAAATGGCCTGTTAAATGACAACGTTGTTGGAAAAAGCCTGTTCATTAACATGACAATGAAAATAATTTTTTGTTTTACTGAAAACACATAGATCTGGAAACAGGTTTCAAAGTATAAGTTTTTGAAAATGCTGTCATTGTCATCTCTGTCTAAAGACCCAAAAATTAGAGTCTTTCAGGTGCATGCATAGTGCGGGTTTAGAAAGGTGTAGATTAAAAAATGTATGTAAAACAAACATACAATGTGGTAAAAACTAGGGCTTTGCAATTAATCGAAAATCCGATTTTGATTTTAGCTTCTAACGATTATGAAAAACCAATAATCGAGATAAACGATTAGTAACTTCGCAGCGCGAAAGACCGCATGCTTATGTGTGTGTGTGCAGCGCGCACACACAGAAGCGTGCTGTCAGCATTTGGTCTCATTCGCACACAGAGCGCAGTCAGCGCACAAATCTGAAGTCATCTTAATGGGAGCACTTTAATGGTCAAATAGGTGTCAAAACGTGGTGTTGAGTGATTATTCATATTAACCCTCATTTGTGTAATAAACATACGAGTTGAGAAACAAAAGACGTGAAAAAGAAACCATTAAAGTGAAAGCGTGCGATGTTCCTGCTGCCGCCTGTTTTTATGAGTATTAATCAAACAACAAAACTAGAAAATCCCTCACTGCTTTTGATTGAAGGACTTTTGAAGCTAGTGTTTTTCTTACAGTGAAGATGCTTAAAGCACAGTTTGTTTCATATTTTTATTATATTGTATATATTTCTCTTTCCTTTGCAGGGTGGAAAATAACTGTATATATGCAGTTAAAGTCAGAATTATTGGCCCTCCTGAATATTAGCAACCCTTCTCTTCCCCAATTTCTGTTTCATGGAGAGATTTTTTTTCAACACATTTCTAGACATAATAGTTTTAATATCTCATTTCTAATAACTGATTTCTTTCATCTTTCCTATGATGACAGTAAATAATATTACACTATTTTCAAAATACAAGCATTCAGATTCAAAGTGCGATTCAAAGACTTAATTAGGCAAAAATCAAATATTCAAAATATTTAAAACTGCTTTTATTCTAGCCGAAATAAAAAAACAAGAGAGCCTTTCTCCAGAAGAATTTTTTTTTTTAGGAAATAATGTTAAAATTCCTTGCTCTGTTAAACATGATTTGTGAAATATTTATTTTATAAAAAAAATCTCAGGAGAGGTAATAATTTTGACTTAAGTGATAATCGTTTTGAATAATCGTGATTACAATTATGACCAAAATAATCGTGATTATGATTTTTCCCAAAATCAAGCAGCCCTAGTAAAAACGCATCTTTTACGCATGACAAATTCTACACCCACACGGAAAGAACCTAATATAATCATATACGTTTTAATAAAGGTTTTGAATATATGAGACATATATAATATTGTCCGTTTTCCTATATTATATGTACATATATGTAAGCTTGTAAAATTCCCCAAAAAACTTTAACTGACATATAAATGAAGACAATAACATACCAAGTTATCACCTGTCATAATCTACATTTAAGCAAGACGATTAAGTGCAACATAGTTACCCGAATATATGAATGTCTTTTCTGGAATAGCTTTTAGCAGCAAACTATTTTCACAGGTTTTAGTTCGTCATCAGATACTTTAACATTATGCTACGTTAAAAAACACACAATACTGGTTAATTGGTTATTGATCATCAGAGGAACCCATCATCAATATATATGACTTTTACAACCGTAGGCTGCACCGTCATGCCATTTTTGATGAAAATTCATTGGTTTCTGAGCATGAATAATGATAAAAGCTTGTTGCAAGATAGCAAATGCAGTGACGTATGGAACAGTCAATTGAGCTATATCTACGTATTGATGTCTAAGGTCACGGCACTGTTCATAGTGTAGTTCCGATTGGCAACCTGGAAATAAGTCCACTATTTTGCACTTCAAAAAGACTTAATGGGACATCAGAGATCATTTTATGCAATACTCCAAAGGCCATTGGAAAAAACTATTTGATTGTTGTTGAATAAACAAGGATGATGCTAACTTCTGGGTTGGCCGTCAAAAAAAGTATGTCATCCCTGTTGCACTCTTTTTCATAATAACTTATAAAGTCAGACCTATTGTGAGCTACAATGTTAACTAATGGAACATTTAATAAACCCTTTGTTGTAGCCCCATTCCAAGACAAAAAATGATTCTGTTAAAAAAAAAAAAAAAAAAACATACCCACAAATCACAGCTAGGCATGGGCCGGTATAAGATTCTGATGATATGATAACCTTAAATAAAAATATCACAGTATTGTGCTAACTGCTCTAAAATATGTTCTTTTTAACTGTCTAGATAAAAAACTAAACTTTTTTTTCCACTTTGAACATAATATATTTATTTTAAAAATACTTTAGAGCAGTAAACATGTCAGGCTAATTAATTCAAATGAATCATTGACTTCTGCTTCGTTTCAAAAACACTAATTTCTTTACAATTTAAAACGGCACCTTTGGATTTTTAAATTTTTTATTTGCTGTACATACTGTTATCCTAAAAAAACAAACAAAAAAATGTAAATAAAAAAATCTTACACATACCTTAGAAGTTGGTATGAAATTTTGGCGATTTTAAACCGCGGTATGTCAACATTATTAGCCCTCCTTTCTTTTTCAAATATTTCCCAAATGTTTTCCCAAGTTAGTGTTTTACATTATTTCCTATAATTAATTATTTTTTCTTATGGAGAAAGAAGACATTTGTTTTATTTGTTTTATCTCATTTGTTTTATTTTTGATAGAATAAAAGCAGTTTTACATTTTTAGGTCATTATTATTATACTTTGCTTTAAGCAATATTTTTTGAGATCAAACCATCATTATACAATGACTTATGTCTAGTTAACCTAATTAAGCCTTAAAATGTCACTTTAAGCTGAATACCAGTCTTTGATTATGTTGTTTTTAAATTCACAATCAAACCATTTTTTAAAAATGTATCCATTTTCATTAGGATTGTCATCAAATCACACAGTTCATACTAAGTTAAGCTGTAAATACATAAGTCTTTTTGTCTGATTTTAAATTTTGGTATGGCATTTTCTGCTTTACAATACTGTGATTTATGAAAAAAAAAAATGACTGAACAAAGAGGGCAGGCACTAATGCACACTATTAGGTCTCAAGAAAAGGTGCCGTGGCAACCAGCTCAAATCCAGTCAATTACATCAATAAGTCATTACTGCCACAATAAAACGTTCTCTTCCAGAACCAAAAAGAACCACAAGCATATAAACTTAATAAGCTCTTTGAAGGATATTGTGATTTCACATCAGCAAATAGGGCTGCACAATACTGGAAAAACCTAGCATGGCAATATTTATTTCCCTGCGATTTAAATTGCGATATAAATACAATTTCACCAGATGTAGGGCTGTGCAATTAATCGAAAATCCGGTTTCGATTTTGGCTTCTAACGATTATGAAAAACTATTAAACGACATAAATGATTATTCCATCATATACCGCCCCTTCCCAGTTGTACACATTTGTTGCTCTGCAAAGCTCAGTTCCACATGAAAATGACTAAAAGCATGTGCTGTAATGTAACGTTTGCAGCACGGGATGAGCACCATTCATTGATGAGCATTCGAATCATATTTTTAAAAGCGCGAAAGATCGCATGTTGGTGTGTTTGTGTGTGCGCACCGCGCTTAGCCTCTGACATGCTGGGAGACGAGCAGAGCACACAGATCTAACGCCATAATGCGAGCGCTTTAATGGTCAAATACATGCACATTTGTGTCACAGCGCGGTGTTTAGTGATTATTCATATTAACCCTCATTTGGGTAATAAACAAACGAGTTTAGAAGCAAAAGACACGTGAAAGAGAAACCATATCAGAGCCGCACTATTCTTAAAGTGACAGAGCGCAATATTCCTACCTGTTGTTATCAATGATTAAAATACAAAAGGAGAAAATCCCTCACTGCTCTTGACTGAAGGACTTTTGTAGCTAAAGTGTTTTTCTTACAGTGAAGATGCTTGAAGCACAGCTTAAACATAACAGATTTAATAACTAATTTCGAATAACTGATTTCTTTTATCTCTGCCATGATGACAGTACATATTCAAGATACTAGTATTCAGCTTAAAGTGACATTCAAAGGCTTAATTAGTGTAATTAGGCAAGTCATTGTATAACAGTAGTTACTGCTGCATATATATATATATATATATATATATATATATATATATATATATATATATATATATATATATCGCTTAAAGGGGCAAATAATATTGAGCTATTAAAATAGATTTCAAAATATTTAAACCTGCTTTTATTCTAGCCGAAATAACACAAATAAGCCATTCTCCAAAAGAAAAAATATTATAGGAAATACTGTGAAAAATTCCTCTGTTAAACATCATTTGGGAAATATTTATATATAAAAAAAAAATTCACAGAAGGGTGAATAATTTTGACTTTAAATAATAATCGTTTTGAATAATCGTGATTACAATTATGACCGAAATAATGGTGATTATGATTTTTCCCATCATCGAGCAGCCCTAACCAGATGACATAGTATCTTTATTTGGAAAGAATGTATAATGTTAGATCGATTAGGACGATTCTACAGTGGAAGTGCATCTCCATAAAATCTAATAAACAATCTAGAAACTTTATTGGGTTCCCTGACACATTTTTGATGTGGTCTGCAATTTGCAGTGCATTTCTGTATTTGCATGTGTTGCCAGTATTTTTATGTGTACCAATCTATAATTACAATCAAGAACAAGATACACTTGAAACAAATCGTTTCCCGAGTCTAACAGTATTCAAGTAAAGTAACAAAAATAAAAATAATTTTTAAAATTTATCGTTTTTTAAAGTTACAAATGGAACAATTTATTATGCCTGAATGCTTTTAAGGTCATTTTACAAATCACAGGCATCAAAAAAAAGCAAATGATGAATTATAATCCAGACTCAACATTGTGTATGCTCGCGATGAGACTATTGCGAATGATCACATTGCCATATCGATGCTGAAATGATATATACTGCACATCACTATCAATAAGATTTTTTTACTTTGTTTACATATACCATTACATAGTATATAGAGCTAATTAATTTATTCTTTTTCAAATATTTCTCAAGTGATATTTAGCAGATTAAGGACATTTTCACAGTAATTCCTATATTTTTTTCTTCTGAAAAAAAAAGACTCATTTGTTTTATTTTAGCTAGAATAAAAGAAGTTTACATTTGAAAAAAAAAAAAACATTTTGAGGTCAATATTATTAGCCCCCTTAAGCAATATTTTATTTATTGGCTACAGAACAAACATCATTATACAACGACTTGCCTAATTACCCCAAGTATCTTGAAAAATATTTAGTACAATACTATCTACTGTCATCATGGCAAAAGTTAAAAAAAATAAATAAATAAGCTATTAGAAATTATTGTGTTATTACAACTTGTTTAGAAATGTGTTGAAAAAAATCTCTGTTAAAACAAAAAATTAGGGGAAAATAATTAAAATAATTATGAATGGCATAAAATAATTATGCCATTGGCTGCTAATAATTCTGAATTCAACTGTAAACTCCAATGAACCAAAAAATTATGTATTGTAAATATTTTTGAATGTAAAAGGCCACCTAATATAAAGCGGGTCCAAAAATTGAACAAGGATGCTGATAAAGTGGGCGGGCACAACTTGTGCACTCTGTTGGGATTCCAGGAAAAGGTACCACGGCAACCATAACTCATATCCAGCCAAATAAGCTATTCCTTAGTACTACTAACCTGACATCTTCATCCACTTCTTGATGGATATCATGACTTTACCACAGTAAGTGGCCAATTTTGATTTAACTATGGTATCAATGGTATGTTTAATGGTATCATAGCTTAACTAAACGATTATTTTACACTGCTATTAAAGGGATAGTTCACCAAAGAAAAGGAGGTTTTAAACCATAATGATTTTCCTTACTCTGCTGAGCGCGCGCACACACACAAAAGATATTTTGAAAATTTTTTATAAACCTGTAACTATTGACTTATATAGTAGGAATAACAAATATTATAAAACAGTTGCAGATTTCCATCATTTTTCTTAGTTTGTGTGCAACAGAAAAAAAGAAATAGATTTGTATTAAGGTGGTTTTACATTCATTATGTGATAACTTTTGACATGCTTCCCTATATTATTTATAATGATACTTTGAATGTTCGACCTAAAAGCACGCAAGTATGACAACACTAGCACTATTTTTTGACTGCTAACAATTTACTTTGATAGCCATTGGCTGCTAATATGACTTTACTGTTTGGAATTTGCAAAGAATACTTTTTCAGAAAATGAAATTATTAATAATATTAAGGAAAAAGCGCGAATGTGTGAATAATAAACAAACTTTACCTCAATCAGATTTGTGACAAGCGAATGATGAGTAAATAATGACAGACTTTTCAGTGTTGGGTGAAATAACTTCTCCCTTTACGTTTCATTATTTTGACATCATTATAAAACAATTTGTAATATTATTATTATTATTATAAAGATATAAAATAACACAACTGTAAAGACTTTATCCTCAAGCAGACTTAAAAGTACACTTTGGGTGATCGTCTGAAAGTGACACTACACAATAAACAAACATATTCGTGTTTTATTCCGAATAAACAGAGAAGCAAATGACCTCTACATCCCTTCACCGTTCACGGTAGAGACACGGCCCTCGGTTCGGTGACCGTGAACCGGAGCTTCAGCAAATACTACAGATATAAATTTGTAACGTTAGATAGATTTAAAGGGACTTTTAGCTTCAACGCGAGCGCGTCCATTATGTTCAACCGGCACAGCTGTCAACTCCTGGAGCCTGACAACCTCCATAACCGCCAAATGTTACGCGCCGCTCCCTCGCAGTAGCAAGACGAGATGTGAAAGCCATTACCCAAGTTGAAAATGTGCGCTCACCATTTCGATTATCTTGGTTTTCTTCCCCGCTCTCTGTTTTTTGGTGAAAATGTACTGAGCGAACACCACACCGCCGAAAAGCGCGCACACTGTGGCGCTCGCCATCGCGCCGACTTTAACCACCGCGTTCCTGTCCATGTCCGCTCGCAGAAATAAAACTAATGTAGTCGCACAGACACTACGTGTTTACGGGGTGTGTTGGAACAGATCACAACCACCCTACTCAATCTATTTTCTATCTAGTATGTGTCATGTTAGCGGAACTGCTAGAGAGAGGACCCGGATGACACACTGCACTTGTCTAATAGTGAAGTATGCAACCAGAGTACACTTCATGGTACCAGAGTGCAATGCGCATGACAGGACATGATGGGCGTTTTTATATATCCGCTGTTTTATTAAAGAGAGATGTCGTAAATGTGTTGTCAAATCTGTTCCAGTGTTGCCAAGTTAAATATTTTGTTGCTAGATTTAGCAACTTTTCATACTACCCTAGCAACTGTTTTTTTTTTTTTTTCAAAAGCACAGAGCAACAAATTTAGCAATTTTGAACATTTATTTGCCTACTTTTAGTACTTTTAAAAAAGTGACTCAAAAGAGCAGTGGCTGCAGGCTTTACTCAGTAGAGTAAATTGCTAGCTCAGATTGTTTTCATAACTGTTAATTTAAGGATATTTGTTAACACGTATAACTGTTGGTAATTTAGGTAGCGATACATTTCAGTAGAGCAATAATTGTTGTCACTTTCACAAATGTGTTAATTTCACAATTTAAAAAGAGTAAGTACAAAAGCTGTGATTGATTAAAAGAATGTAACTGTTCATTATCGGTGTTATATTTAAAATAAATGAAATCTTGTCAAAAAGTGTTTGTATTTTTATAATTAATTAACTATATTTTTCATACAAATCTGAATGGACATATTTCAAATAATGTTTTGCTGAGGTGGCCAGTCAATTTGACAAAGCATTAATTATTTTGTATACTACATAAAGATGTAGTTTTGAGTTGTGATTACACAATGACGTCATCACACAAAGTAATATGTTAATAAGAACCTATTTGTTGTGCATCTGGATGTAATGTTTCAATATAATATAATACATGGCGGGCAATGCAGTGGCGCAGTAGTGCTGTCGCCTCACAGCAAGAAGGTCGCTGGTTCTGTTGGCATTTCTGTGTGGAGTTTGCATGTTCTACCTGCATTCGCGTGGGTTTCCCCCACAGCCCAAAGACATGCGGTAAGTAAATTGGATAGGCTAAACCAGGGATGGGCAAACTTGATCCTCGAGGGCCGGTGTCCCTGCAGAGTTTTGTTCCAACACTAGTCAAACACACCTGAACATGCTGAACAGTGTCTTTAAAAAGATCACAAGAAATCTATAAGCAGGTGTGTTTGAATAGGGTTGGAGCTAAACTGTGCAGGACACCGGCCCTCCAGGACCGAATTAGCCCACCCCTGGGCTAAACTGTCCGTAGTGTAGTGTGTATGAATGTGTGTGTGTGTGTGGATGTTTCCCAGAGATGGGTTGCAGCTGGAAGGGCATCCGCTGCGTAAAAATATGCTGGATAAGTTGCCGGTTCATTCCGCTGTGGCGACCCTGGATTAATAAAGGTACTAAGCCAACAAGAAAATAAATAGTACACGGCGCCTCAGAGTAGAAACATGACGGGCTTACAGTTGTCAGATACTTTGTGATGTCGTCACTGATATGCAAATTAGTGCATAGCATCATCTGGCAACATTTAGCTACTTTTCGGGCAGGCTTTAACTACTTTTCACTGGAAATAGTTGGCAACACTGATATGTTCCAAAAACAGTAGGAAGTCTGTATTTGTTGGATATACGAAACACAGAGGAAAAAACACAATATAATAAAGGAAAAAAAGGATTTGAGTGACGTACTGTATGTTGTAGAAGATACTGGAATTTAGTCTTATGGGAGTGGACTAGGAAGGAAACAGGCCTCCCAAACAAAACAAGACCCACAATGAGAATTTGAAATATCTGTTTGTGTAGGAGTTTCTGAAATCTACTGCAGTAGTGCAACATTAAGACTGATCACTAGCATTGAAATCCAACAAAGAAGTATATTTGGAGACATATTCTAACAATTGTAGGCATTTGATATATGATTCTAATATATATATATATATATATATATATATATATATATATATATATATATATATATATATATATATATATATATATATATATTCTTGGACATATAAAATGTAAACAAAATAGCAAAAATGAGTTTTTGGACAGAAAATTTTAAGTTTATGAATATAAAATATGGTTTGTTTCCCAGAGATGGGTTGCAGCTGGAAGGGCATCTGCTGCGTAAAAACTTGCTGGATAAGTTGGCGGTTCATTCCGTTGTGACGACACTGTATTAATAAAGGGACTAAACTGAAAATAAAATAAATGAATAAATGAAAATATGGACTGCACGGTGGGCGCAGTATACGCCTCACAGCGAGAAGGTCGCTGGTTCGAGCCTCAGCTGGGTCAGTTGGCATTTCTATTTGCATGTTCTCCCCATGCTGACGTGGGTTTCCTCCGGGTGCTCCGGTTTCCCCCACAAGTCCAAAGACAAGTGATACAGGTGAATTGGGAAGACTAAATTGTCAGTTGTGTATGTGTGTGAATGAGACTGTGTGGATGTTTCCCAGAGATGGGTTGCAGCTGGAAGGGCATCCGCTGCGTAAAACATGTGCTGGATAAGTTGACGGTTCATTCCGTTGTGGCGACCCTGGATTAATAAAGTGACAAAGCCGAAAAGCAAATTAATGAATAATATTAATATTATTATTATTATTATTAATAATAATAATAATAATAATAATGGGCGTCATGATGTCTCAGTGGGTAGCACGATCACCTCAAAGCAAAAAGGTCAATGGTTCGAGCCTTGGCTGGGTCAGTTGACATTTCTGTGTGGAATTCTGTTTTTCCCATGTTGGTGTGGGTTTTCTTCCGGGTGCTCCGGTTTCCACCACAGTCCAAAGACATGTGGTACAGGTTAATTGAATAAGCTAAATTGGCCGTAGTATATGAGTGTGAATGCAAGAGTGTATGGGTGTTTCCCAGTGTTGGGTTGTGGCTGAAAAGGCATCCGCTTAGTAAAACAAATGTTGAATAAGTTGGCGGTTCATTCCATTGTGACAAACCCTGATTAATAAAGGAATAAAGCCGAAACGAAAATGAATGAATGAATAATAATAATAATAATAATAATAATAATAATAATAATAATGATAATAATAAAATAATTAATGCATGCATAAATAAAAGCAAAAAAGTAATGATAATGAGAAAAAAACTTTTTGCTATATGATGTTTTAAAGGAGATGGGGAGAGTGGGGATGTTTTTTTATTATTATTAAAGGTTATATTGGCTTGCCATATCTGTGGCGTTCATGCATTTACACTCATTAGACAGCAGGTGTCGCTGTATCATTGAACAGCCAATGATATATGTGTAACTGTAAACCAATGAGTTTCACACTGAAGGAAGACTAGAAATTTTCTGTTGTTGATCCTTCATTTACATTAAACCATTTTACAAATTCAGGAAGTAGATCATATTGCAGCCGTTGCTTTGCTCAACCCCAGAAGACACCCATTACGGAAGAGGGCGGAGACTAAACCCACATACTTTCTTTAGCATCAACTTGTGCGGGTTTTTGATCAGTATCTTCTGAAGAATTCGCGTTTCTCTGGGTTTTTGACAATCTCCTGGAGACCCCAACAATCAGCTTCTCCGGTTTTTGACAATCTGCTGAAAAAAATCGAGCTTATAAAATGAATTACCAAGGATATGGCGCACCTCCTGCAGCGGGCGGGGTAGGACTGATTTATTGAGTTACTCCTAATGATATTAATTCATACGCTGCACAAGGATGTTTGACGGAGAACATTTAGAAAGCTCAATGTCAAACACCCTGCTGCTTATTTTAAAACACCGGGCACTTAATATTGTTTAGGACGCCACTGAACCAAGTAAATTACGCTATTACTGTGATTTTTACCTCACATTGGGTGTTTTAAAAGTTTTTACCGTGTTCTCTAGTGTTCTAGGCAGTGGTGAAGCGTTGATAAAATAGATATGAAAGCCCTTTGGGATCTTTATGACCCCAAACCCAATTTAAGTGGATAAAAAACCCACATGGAAAGAACCTAAATGAGTATGCGCATATATGAATCTTATATGCAGCACGTATGAGGCAAAACTGAGGTGTATGTGCTTATACAGGCCATATAAGTTAGGTCTCCTGTATTGCTTCTTTATATCCACATAAAAGCCCTATATGTACATACAAGAAGTCTCCTATATAGCTCATATCTCATTTTGGCAACTGTCATACATGATGCCTAGTTCATATTTTCTATTATCAAGGCAATAACTAAGAACTAAAAAATGTATTTCAGGGTTTCTGCAGGGTCTTAAAAAGTCTTAAATCTTAAAATCCACATTTTAGGCCTTAAAAAGTCTTAAATTTACTGAAATATTGTGTTGTAGTTCGTTTTTTTGTTCATGTATTGCTACCCAATCTTGCAAAAACCCATACAATCAGCAACAATCCTAATATTTGTCTAAAAGTTCTTCATGGATTTACTGCTCAGAACACCGACCCGGACAGTATGCTATGCAGAGATTTATTTTATGATAGTTATTGAGCATTTGTTAATTTTTTTATTTTAAAGAAAGTTTATGTTGGAAAAAAGTGTTTGTCTAGCTTGCTTCTTTAACACAATATTTAAAATATTTAGCCCAGAAATAAAATCAAAAATATTTTATTTGTTATCATTAATGTATTATTAAATGGTGACGCGGTGGCGCAGGATGTAGCATGTTTGCCGTACAGTAAGAAGGTTGCTGGTTCGAGCCTCGGCTGGGTCAGTTGGCATTTCTGTGTAGAGTTTGCATGTTCTCCCCGTGTTTGCGTGGGTTTCCTCCGAGTGCTCCGGTTTCCCCCACAGTCCAAAGACATGCACTATAGGTGAATTTGGTATGCTAAAATTGACCATAGTGTATGAGTGTGTGTGTTTGTGAACGAGTGTGTATGTGTTTCCCAGTGATGGGTTGCAGCTGGAAGGGCATCCGCTGCGTAAAACATATGCTGGATAACTTGGCGGTTCATTCCGCTGTGGCAACCACAGATTAATAAAGGGACTAAGCCGAAAAGGAAATGAATGAATAAATAAATGTATTATTAAATGTAATAAATAATAATACATTTTTTGATAGGTCTAATAAAAATCTTTTCCATCTGGCCATTTGAAAAATTCCTTAGCCTTTAGCCCTTTATGAGTGTAAAATTTAATCCATAATGGTCTTAAAAATGTCTTAAAAAGTCTTAAATTTAACTGAGCTGAAACCCTGCTATGTATGTGCGAACACTTGAAATTGGTATTACATGTATTTATCATGTTATGGAATTTAACTATGGCAAATAAGTGAGAGCCCACACAGAAAGAACCTACATAAACAGAGGTTTTGATATAGGTTTTTTAATATAATAGTTTTATGTATATTTTTAATATAAATGTAACATATAAAATTGTCTGTTTTCCAGTTTTACACGTATGTACATACAATATAGGAAAACAGCCAATTTTATATATGTCACATATATTAAAGCCTATATCAAAACCTATAATAAAACACTTATATTTATCTAGATTATTTCCGTGTGGGAATACATGTGGTAATTTGTATTCATGACCTTTGCTATAATTACACAGGATATTTTCACAAATGTTTATTTTTTAAATTAATTATAATGTTTCTGATATCCTGTATGATGTCCATGTTGTGTTATTTAGTAATAGTAATTTCTATAAATCTCTCTCACACGCACAAAGCCAAACCTTCTCCACATACACTGGAACATAAGCTATTTGCTCCAAATCTGTTCTTTCACACACATGCACACACACGTCCTGTTTTATTAGCCGCCCCCTACTTTATATGAATGTCTTGAAAATGTTTTATAATGCTGCTTCTAGCTGCCTTGTGTAGAGAACTGTAAGGTTGTACCTAGTAGTTAACTGTTTGCTAAAAACACCTATACTTACTTTCCTATGCCCTCCACCCCTTCCGGGGCATGGGCCGCCAAAGGTAGATCTCCAGAGGTTCCTGTCCTGGGCCATTTATTCTACTTGTCCCTAGGTCTACTTGACCTATACTTAAAAACACCTATATTTGGATATTATTTGTGTCATCATTTTTGTTTGCGCAATCTCTATAATTAAATGATGCTTATTTTTATTTTTATTAAAGTGCCCTTGAAATGTACCATTTAAATTTAAGTTTTTTTTTTTTTTTAAATTGTTCATAATTTTTTGTTGGAAAACAAAAATGCTTGACTTCAGCCAAACACAAACAATGTAAGTAATTAGGGGGGGAAAAGAAGTTTAAGTACTATTTTCTGAATAACATATATATTTAACATATATATATATATATTTTCATGATGTTCTTTCAATTAACAAGTGTTAAAATTAATTCTATGTTTAGTTTTTATTCTATATCGCAAATTACTACTTAAATGTAAGACTTAATTATTATTAACTTATAATTATTAACTTATTTATATTTTTTTGTTCATTTATTAAAGGGATAGTTTCCAGAATAATAAAAATGTACCCGCCATTTACTGAACCTCAAGTCGAGTGTTTTTGTTCAGTTGAATTTTAAACAAGCCATATAAATCTTAAATGAGGTGAGTTTATAATGGCATAACAGTTCACCGGAAGTGCCTTGAGCTGGCTTATTTAAATTAAAAGTCCCAGTGAATCTAGCCTATTGTATCTGTTCTGCCAATGTTGACTTTGGTTTGAACACACACCTGGTTCCACTCGGCTGATTAGTACAGTCACCTTTGACCAGCACTGGGTGTGTCAGATTATGAGGCATGCGTAGCCTGTAGGTCATTGGTTTTCAATTCTAGCTTTGACATACTCTGACCATTTTCTTTGATGAAATAAGCTAATAAAATACATTATTTTGATAATCAAACAAAGGAGACATTTTAAATCTCTAATTTTGTGGGTAGACAGACTTAAAATCCACTGCAGGAGGTCATGATCACAATGGTTTACCTCAAAAAACTAAAACTAGAATTGACTGGTGTTGAAAGCACAAAGTTGGCACAAATAAACAAACTTAGAATGAAATTTGAATTTAGATATTCATGTATACCAGTTAATCCTATTCATCTTTATTTCTATAGCACTTACAATGTAACATTGTGTCAAAGCAGCTTATCATCCAAGTTCTAGTAAATTGAAACCGTGTCAGTCCAGTTTTCAGAATTGAGGATCAGTTTAGTTCAGTTCAGTGTGGTTTCATTTTCACTGCTGAAAGTCCAAACACTGAAGAGCAAATCCATTGATGTGCAGTTCCACAGGTCCCAAACCAAGCAAGCCAATGGTGACTTTTATATATTATATGGTGCTCTTATATAATTTGCATATTCAGATATTTAATTAAAAGACATGATGCTTTGTATCTGAGTAATGAACAGAGTAATTGTTTTTGGATTGCTTCTAAAAAAAAACTAGATGTGAAACAACATGGGAAAGACCACTGTTGCTACATTTCCTTTTACTTTACAACTAATGTGATGTTAACGTTCATGTGAACCGGATGTTGCCGCTCACTTTCATTTCAGTAGGATGGGCTAATTTTAAATGAAATGGAATATTAAGTAGGGGGCGGGGTTATATTTTAATTATCCTCTTTTCATTTTTTTCTCGAAGCAAATTTCGCCCAAGCTGTCAAACTGACATCATCATTTAAGGACTGCCATTCCAGACTGGAAACAAATGGATAGATTTGATCATTCATTCATTCATTCATATTCTTGTCAGCTTAGTCCCTTTATTAATCCTGGGTCGCCACAGCGGAATGAACCGCCAGTTTATCCAGCAAGTTTTTACGCAGCGGATGCCCTTCCAGCCGCAACCCATCTCTGGGAAACATCCACACACACATTCACACACACACTCATACACTACAGACAATTTAGCCTACCCAATTCACCTGTCTTTGGACTGTGGGGGAAACCGGAGCACCCGGAGGAAACCCACGCGAAGGCAGGGAGAATATGCAAACTCTACACAGAAACGCCAACTGAGCCGAGGTTCGAACCAGTGACCTTCTTGCTGTGAGGCAACAGCACTACCTACTGCGCCACTGCCTCGCACTTAGATTTGATTATTTAATTTAATTCAATTTATCTTTATTTGGAGTGCGTTTTTACAATGTAGATGGTGTCAAAGCAGCTTCACATAGAAGATTATAGTAAATTAAAATGGTGTCAGTTCAGTTTTCAGAGTGTACGTTCAGTTCAGTTTAGTTCAGTTCAGTTCAGTTCACTGTGGTTTAATATTCACTGCTGTGGGTCCAGACCCTAAAGAGTAATCCAAGGATGCGCAGCTCTACAAGTCCCAAACATTGCAAGCAAGTGGCAACAGCAGTAAGGAAAAAACTCACCAATTGGCGAAAGTGAAGTATAAAAAACCTCGAGAGAGACCGGGCTCGGTTGGGCACGACCATTTCTCATATGTCCAAACATCTTGTACAGAGCTGCAGTCTAGGTGCCAGAGGCTGGAGAACGCTGGACTTAAATAGATTTGTTGTGCCCCTTAAAACTTATAATGTGCGCTAAAAAAATAAACTTTGTAAAATAGAAATTTAATGCAGAATTAAACTATTTACAGTTTTTCTCTTTAAATTCGAAGATTAATTGTAGTTAACAGGTTTTTACTGTTGCTGCTATACATTTTTTTTTTTTTTTTTAGCAAAATACTGCTTTTGTGCCTTAAAGTTTACAATGATTTTTGGCAGTGTGGGAAAACATTAATGTATCGTCTTTGATTTGGTCATGTCATCAAATAAAAATAGTAAAATGGCATCTGCCACATAAAACATGTCAGCGTACTCTACCTGACAAAAATCTTGTCGTCAGTCCCAGTTGTTGGAGCAACACATAATAACTTGACTTCTAGTTGATCATTTGGAGAAGTGGCAGAAGGTAGATTTTTTTTCTGATGAATTATCTGTTGAACTGCATCCCAAATCATCACAAATACTGCAGAAGACCTATTGGATAGAAATTAGTCAAGTTTGGTGTAGGAAAAAAATCATGGTTTGGAGTTAAATTCAGTATGGAGGCATGCAAGAGATCTGCAGAGTAGACGAGTAGATCAACAGCCTGAGACATTTGTGCTTCCCATTACATTACAAAGCACAGGAGAGGGCAAATTCTTCAGGAGGATAGCGCTCCTTCTCATACTTCAGCCTCCACATCAAAGTTCCTTAAAGCAAAGAAGGTCAAGGTGCTTCAGGAGTGGCCAGCACAGTAACCAGATATGAACATTATTGAGCTTGTCTGGGGTAAGATGAAGGAGGAGGCATTAAAGATGTATCCAAAGAATTTTAATGAACTCTGGGAGTCCTGCAAGAACGCTTTCTTTCCAGATGACTTTATTAATAAGTGATTTGAGTCATTGCAGAGATGTATGGATGCAGTCGTCCAAGCTCATGGGAGTCATACACAATATTAATTCTTTATCCACTGCAGCATGACTTTATATTCTATACTGTACATTATTTCTGTTAAGTGACAAGACTTTTGTCTAAGCAAAATCAGACCTTACTGTCCTAATTAAATCATTAAAAATCAAGGCATGATCATATTTTATTTTGGTAAAATAAGCGTAATCTAGATGCCTTTGCCTTTCATGTCCTTATTACCACCATTTAACTCACTAAAATCAACTTCTTGATGTTCTTCTCTGCAGTATCCTGGTGGATTTCCTGGACAGCAGCAGGACCCTCTGTATGGATACTTCACTGCTATCGCTGGTCAAGTAAGAACTCAACATTACACTCACAAATTTGCTACCCTTTCGTTATGTTAGTAACTGTTTTTGCCCCACTAACTTCCATTATAACCATATTTGTTTATTTGAAGGCTGCGACAGCATATGCATTCTTGATTATTGGTGGTTTTCCCTGTTGGGAAGAGGTACAATTTGTGATTTATACTGTTTATCAGCAGTTACAGTGCAAAAAAAATCTTAGTTTCTGGCTTTTATATGGAGTGTATTGTGTGTGCGAGTATAAGGCCCTGTTTACACTGTCAGGTCTTGATGCCCAATTCCGATTTCGTTTTTTATTATTATTTTACATATATCATTTTTTTTTGCCTGTCTGTTTACACTTTCTTTTAATCGTGACTCATATCTAATTCATGTGTTTACACTTGCTCTACAATTTACGACGTAAAGGTGGGTTTAGCATCTGCGCCACAATAGCCAAAATGGAAGAAATTGTTTTGCTTTTAGCTCTGCGAAAAATGCAAAGTTCGCCCAAATTTAAAATTATTTTAAGGAGGAGGAGGAAAAGAGCCGTCGAAGCTTGCGCCTATGGTTTATGTATGGTGTCCTGCACCTTTCAGAGGAATTTGTGGGTGCGAGAGAGATCTCAAGTCTGGTGGGTGAACATTGTGGTGGCTGACCACTTTCCTCCAGCGTGTTTCCTCTGTTGTTGTTGTTTACTGCATCGGCGTCTCCACACATGCACTCCCTTCTACGTCAATAAACTGCAAAGAAGCACCACATTGTCCACAATGTCATACAAAACGGAACGCCTCAATAAATCTGATCTGCCTGTTTACATGATAGTCGCATCGTCACATATCCGATTTATATCTGATTTATTTCCACATATGAAGCGATCTCTGAATATTCGAATACATACTTTTTTTTTCGTGTTTACACGGTCATAGAACAGATCTGATCTGTGTCACATATGAGCAAAAAATCAGAGTTAGGTCACATTTAACTGGCCTAAGAGAAACTCTTGCACACTTACCTTGATATGTTTGTGAAAATAAAAAATATGCAGCTCAGCTCTCAGAACGTAGTAAACATAGTACGTGTATTTATGCACGCACAGCCTAATTTGCTATTTCACTCCATAGAACTCCATATAAACAGCAGAAACATTTTTGAACAGGCCTATCTAAAGGATTTATGGTGCTAACGGATGATCAACAGTACAAATGTCAAATAGAACCTTTTCCCCACAGGGAAAACCCACCAACAATCGAGAATGCATCATTATTTGGTGTCATGGCTTTGCAAATGAAAGAATGTGGATATAATAGAAGTCAGTGGGGCAAAAACAGCCATTAACATAACAAAAGGGTGGTCGGTTTGAACAGTACACAAGGGTTAAAATAGATTGATGTAAGATAATTTTATTCACAGAAAGATTGCATATAAAATTTGCCAATCTTTGTGTCAATCTGTAGCAGAAATCCTTCATTTTACTTTGATGAAAACTTGTTTATTAATAGATGCTGTAAATAATATATTCAATTTGTTTTTCTTTAGGATGGCCAAATATCTGCAGAAGAACTTCAGGCTTGTTTGACTCAAGCCAATTTCTCTGGTGGCTATAGACGTAAGACAAAGTTTATCTAAATTTAATAGTGAAGCATAATAGTTCTTTATAGCCGTAAACTTAAAGCATTCGCAGGTTTATGACTGTAACACTCCTTCTTTGTCTTGCAGCTTTCAACCTTGAGACATGTAGACTGATGATCAGCATGCTTGATGTATCCTTCTCACTCAGACGTGCTGAATTGCATGTAGTTTGAATTGTAGTGTTGTCAATATTACAGTATTAGTGCCACTAAAATGTCTGTGATTTTGACGATTTCAACATAAAAACATCTAGAAAAATTGAATTATTATAATGCTGCAAATAAAGGAACAGTTCACCTAAAAAAAGATCAACTGACCTCATAATTACCTCATAATTTACTCACCTTCACGCCATCTGAAAACAAATCTAATTCGGTTTAATCGGTCGATAATAACAACAAGATAATAGTTCTGCGATCATGACAGCTGTTTGTGTTGCTTTTAGGGATGGGAAGATTAACCGATATGTATCGATACGCGGTCATGCGCGTGCACGATGCGAGTGCATCGGTAGAGCAGCAGAGGATGAATGAAATTTTGGAAGCAAATCGAGATGCATCGGTTTTTGCGAGATGCATCGGTTTTTCCAAGATATAACTTTAATATAGAATGTATTTTTTATTTATTAGCAAGTGTTGTCAACCTGTTTTTGGCGCATAATTTAATCGACCTACATAAAGTATGCATTAGCAACGGACTTGCGGATGTGTACACTTACACTACAACTCAGTGTATCAGGTGTGCGAATGAAGCGAGTGGAGCGCCCTCAGAAAGCGCGAGAAGCAAAACAAACATTTTATTTCCTACTGAGTTTTAAATTTAAAGTATGGCAACATTATGGATTCTGCAAAAAGGATGGACGACTTGACAGGACAGATGCGATTTGCCAAATGTGCCGCACATCTGTAAAATACACGGGCAGTACGACTAATCTGAAATCTCACTTGAAGCGGCGCCTCGATGTTGTTGTGGAAGCATCTTCCAGTGTTCCTGCTTCCCCGGCTTCCTGCTCTGCTTCAACTGTAGCTACCAGCTCCAAAAGTGATGAGAAAAGCGTTGAAAGTTTTCTCCATGCGCAACAGTTCTGCTCGCTCTACGCCAATAACGAATGCTATTGCATTGTTCATCTGCAAAGATATTCAGCCTAGTGTCACGGAGAACGAAGGTTTTAAACACCTCCTGTTAATTTGTATTTATTTATATTTTATTAGCCTGTTGTTTACAGTGACAGTGATGTTTCAAAGCAGCATAACACTGCTAGTTCACCACCTTAAGTTTTGAATATTCAGTGGCACAATATATCTTTGTAAAACTTGTTTTCATAGTTAAAAAGTTAAATCACAATTCTTGTTGTCCAATGGTAAACCTTTATGTTGAAAGAGTGCAAATATATACTTATATAAATATATATACTTTATAATATATATTGCACTTATACATTCTGTTTATCTTGAAAATCCTTAAATAATATGTGCTATAGGTTCTAAAATGGCCCTCTACTGTAAACTGACACTCTGGCTCTGAGAGAAAAGCCAGTTTGTAAAAAAAGTCTTGGTTTTACTTGGTTAATAAATAATCAAACTCACTCAATGGCACAGCATCCTTTCTTACATCATCTCATAAACTTGATCTAATAAGTTAGTGCTGAATTATCGCATTGTATCGTGATATGGGTGTAAATCGTATCGTGTTGCATCGCAATGTCACAAATGTATCGCTAATATATCGGATCGTATTCTTTGTATCGAGATGCGTATCGGATCGGCATTATAGCTTAGATGCCCAACCCTAGTTGCTTTGTAATAAACTAAGAAGAATTTGTTTTCATAGCTTGAAAATAACAACGTATAATAATGTTTTTACTTCAAACTCACCTCATAACTACTCAAGTGTTTGACATAAATCATTTATTAGTCATGCCGATTTAAAGAAAGCAGATAAATCTTCTGTTTATTCAGCAACTGCTATTTTCTCCAGATGATTTCCTAGGTTTCTTTGTGTGAATTTGGTGATAGGTCATGGTGTATGTACAGTAGCACTTCAGAAACACTCAATATTACTCAAGCTTTTTTCCCCCATTACTTAACTGTTCATCAGAGAGACATGTCTTACTCGATGGGCTTCAATGAGTTCAAAGAATTGTGGGCAGTGCTCAATGGCTGGAAGCAGCACTTCATGAGCATTGACAGGGATATGAGTGGCACAGTCGACCCACAGGAAATGAATCAGGCCATTTCCTCTATGGGTAAATATTTGGCATTAAAATCCATTTTGTTTCTGTTATTATTGTTCTTTATTGTTAGATTGGTCCATGGCAGGTTGCATCCCAAGTATTTTTGTGATTAAAGGAAGTCTAATAAATGTCTAAAAACAGACCTTTTGGCTAAGTCGAGGCTAAATTTGATCTGTCAGTGAAAATCTAATAGACGTCCAACAATAGTTTAAAAACAGACTATCATCAAATCGACAATAATTAATCACTGTACACATGAAGTCTGTCCAGCAAGCATTTTTGTGATTAAAAGAGGTCTAAAAGGCATTTAATAGATGTCTGAACACAAACCTTTTGGCTAAAACAAGGCTAAATTTGGGATGTCAATGAACATCTTACAGACGTCTAACAATAGATCAAATATAGACTATCATCAAATAGACATGAATGAATGACTACACACACTAAGTCTATCCAGCAAGCATTTTTGTGATTGAAAGAGGTCTTAAAGGCATCTAATAGATGTCTAAACACAAACCTTTTTGGCTTAAACAAGGCTAAATTTGGTATGTCAATGAACATCTTACAGACGTCTAACAATAGATCAAAAATAGACTATCATCAAATAGACATGAATGAATGACTTCACACACAAAGTCTGTCCAGGAAGAATTTTTGTGATTTAAAATAACTATAATAGGCACCTAATAGATGTCTTAACATAGACCTTTTAACTAAAACAAGGCTAAATTTAGTCTGTTAGTGAACATCTAATAGACGTCTAACAATAGAACAAAAATGGACTATCATCGAATTGAATGAATGACTACACACAGGAAGTCTGTCCAGGATGAAATTTTGTGATTAAAATAATTTTAATAGGCACCTAATAGATGTCTAAACATAGTCCTTTAGGCTAAAGCAAGATTAAATTTGGTCTTTCAGTAAACATCTAATAGACGTCTAAGAATAGTTCAAAAATAGACTATTATCAAATAGACATGAATTAATGACTACACAAATAAAGTTTCTCCAGTAAGCACTTTTGTGATTTAATAGAAGTCTAAAATGCATCTAATATATGTATAAAAACAGACCTTTTGGCTAAAACAAGTCTAAATTCGGTCTGTCAATGGAAATCCAATAGACGTCTAACTATGGTTAGAAAAAATGGACTATCATCAAATAGACATGAATGAATGACTACACGTGAACTCTGTCTAATCGGTCTATTTGATGACTATTCTACTTTTTTAGACTGCTGTTAAAAGTATATTAGTTTATCCACTGACATTCCAAATGTAGCCTTGTTTTAGCCATGAGGTCTAGGGTTTTAGACATCTTTAAACATTTTTTTAATATGTGTAATTTTCTGTAGAACAGTGAAAATTATGTTATTCTTGATAATATTTTCACTTCAATTTTTATACTTTAAGGTGAATTAATAGCTTTTAAATCAACCAAATGACAAAGCAGCCAATAAAAAAATGAATTATGTTATAGAAAGTAAATGGAAACACAAGGTTTTATAAAGATTATTGCAGTGTATCCATTAAAGAGTATGTTCTGATGAATGAATACATCCACTCCAGTTTTAAATACATCTCATTCACTGAAAACCTTTCTTCAACAGTGCTTTAGATAAATAAATGCCAAAAAACAAGGTGGAATAGCTATATTTTAATTTGTTTCCTGATAAGAATGCTGAACAAGATTGAGGAAAAACCGTCTTTTTTAAGGAACTGGATTTCCTAATTGTTGACAGGATGTGAATAAACTGTAAAAATGCATACTTAAATGTCACTGTGTGTCTTGTTTAGGGTACAGACTGAGTCCTCAGGCCATGAACAGCATAATCAAGCGCTACAGCTCTCAAGGAAAGATCACGTTTGATGATTATGTGGCTTGCTGTGTCAAACTAAGGAGCTTGACTGGTATGTTTTATTTCTTTCCTTGCATTCTGAATGTGAAGAAGGCTTTTGGTTGATTAAATGTTACTGTGAGCAATGCTTGATTCACATTTTGGGTGTCTGAAACATAAGCAGAAAAAGTTATTAAGTTACTACTCTGAATATTTTCTTTAAGAACCGTAATCAAATGTTTTTAGTAATGTTAAAAGTTTTGTTAATTTGATTGTACAAAATTAAAAGGACCAGACCAAATTTAAATCTAGTTCCCACTACTATTGAAAAGCAGTGAAAAAACCCAATTCATACAGTCATGGCAAACCTGAAAAAGACATGCAATCTAGACATGGCATTTTCCAGGCCTGGAAAAGTTTGGGGAAAACCCAAAAACTTTTGGAAAAGTCATGACAATTTGTTGAACAAATACTGTAGCTGTATATTTGAAACATTGGTTAGTTGTCATTACGTCTTTTCTGTCCTTGGCCAATCACATGCTCTCACATTAGTAGTGCAGTGTAAGCATTATCCAAATAAATTTTACATAGATATAAAAATAAATGTAAACTTAAGAGATTGTTGCAAATTTTACGATATGCTGTAAAACATTTGAACTTGCATAGTTTTAAAATTATTAGGCAGGTATATGTAGACATTACATAAAACATTAGGTTATGAAAATTTGCTTCAAAGTCTTGGAAAAGTCTTGGAATTTTATTAGTAAAAATTTGTATGAACCCTGCATTAACCAATGCGTTATTCCCATATATTTCAATGGAGAGCCAGTGATCTCCAGTAAACAAGTGATGCTAACCTTTGATGATAAGATGCAGGTGTGTGCTGCGATGCAAGTCATGTGACAACATTTCTGAAAGTTTTGTTTTATGCAAATTTTGCTAGCAACAACCAGTAGGAGCGAAGAATGGTTTAGTGAAATGCACTAAGGCTGTTTTACATTAAAAAAATAAAAAAATAAAAAATGTTATGACTTGGACTATTACTATCTTTCTGACTTTTGTATTATTGTTTCTAGTCCAAATATCTAAATAGATCTTAAATAAATTAAGCTTTTTCTAAAGTAAAACATTGTTTAATTTTCATAAACAATTAGTGAAAATTTGGTGAGTGTGACCTTAAAGTAAAGTAATCTGCCATTGTTTAATTAAAATAATCTAATTTTTGGGTTTGAAATAAGAATAATTGGCTGATAATATACAGTAGCTTGTTTTAATGGAGGAATTCTCTTAAATTTTGACTTGTTATTTCTGAAAACAAAACTATTTTTAACTTGTCTAGAACATTATTCTTGATTAAGCATCTTCTAATATTAGGACTATAAACAAGTAAAAACTATAAGTAAGAAAGCTTTTTGCAGTTTAGTAAATAAACAAAAAAAAATTGTGGTAAAAAAAAAAAACATTTTTATTAACTGAATTTTTTTAAATTTCATTAGCCTTGAAAGGCACCTATGATGAAAATCAAAGCCTGTAAGCTGTTTGGACAGAACTGTGTGTAGGTAAAGTGTGTCCACAGCCATATTGGAGTGATATAAACACACAAAGCCTATTTTTCTTTAAATTTGCTGACGTTAAAATAGGATCCAAATCCTTTCCATTTTGAGGCCAGCCGCAACATGACGTAGGAGTGCGGTTTCCCCGCCCACCGAATTGATTGACAAATGCATATTAACATGTCTATGTAGTAACGCGTATAATCATATCCCCAAGACAGGACTTGCGCAAAGCAACTGGGATTAAAAGATCTGTTCAGGCCTCTGTGATCAGCTGCACATCAAGAATGAGTTTTACAAGTTTAAAAAGCATCTTTGTAATAAAGAAAAGAGAGTAAAATCTCTATGCAATTCATCACCACGGCCGCATGTCAATACAGTTATAAAAGGATACACTTCAATTCTGGTTTGTGGACTTAAATCAGGTTTAGAAAGGTATAATAAATAATCTGATGGGGGGTGTTTTGAGCTGAAACTTTACAGACACATTCTGGAGGCACAAAAGACTTATCTTAAATCTTGAAAAGGGGGTAAAATAGGTGCCCTTTAATGAACCTAACAACAAAAACTAAAAAAACTAACAGATAAAATACAATACAAAAAAAAAAAAAAAAAAATTATGTAATAAGCACACATTCAGTGGTGGAAAATCTGACCTGTGGCTGTTTATGGAAAAACTGTAGGTGGAACTTATTGTGTCTCATCCATGACAGCCAAACACAACAGTCAAGCCCGTTTATATACAAAAACCTCTTTTATAAACAATACATCCTTACTGTTTTTCCATCATCTGCCAAAAAATGTAATCTAGGCATACACATAGCCTATATTATCTCTAAAATGAAGATCTTTGCCTCAATACTTCATCATTTTTACTTTGCAAAGCTGCATTTGTGTAGTTTTGGATTCAGTGGCTTCTGTGGTTTGCACAAGTGTTCAAGTAAACTGTGAAAACACTGAACTTTCCCTTTGGTCAAAGTGTTCCGCTAATCTCATGATGAAACTAAAACCAAAACAAAAAAAATAAATAAATAAAAACGAAATGGATCTAGTATTTATTAAAAATACTCCTAGCAACCCGTAAGAAAACTGTGAAGTGGCTACAACTGGAACCCCCTACAAAATCTGAATGGTTGGATATCATATCTAATGTTCAAAATAGGGAGAGGATGACTTTTTCTCTAAAACTCCAAATGGACAAATACCTGCAATATTGGGAGAAATGGATTGTGCTTATGCCTTTAAACAGTGTAATCTGATTTCTATATGTATTTGTTAATGTGACCTGTAAGGAAATATGTGACCAGTCAACTGTTCATTTAAGTTCCGGTGTTTTATTGTATTATTTATTTAATTTAATTATTGTTGTTATTATTATTATTATTATTTTTAAATCTATTATTTATATTTTTTCCTTGTTTTTTTCCTTAAAAAAAGAGAAATAAAAATTGACATGTGTGTATATATATATATATATATATATATAAAATTAAATGGATATGTGTACTTCAAAATGTCAATGAATTGAATTTAAAAAATAGTATTTAAAAAAAAAATTATTATTGGAAAACTATAATAATGAAATGTTCTTCTTCGTTAATAGTATTATTTTCAAATGTATTTTTAAAAATATAGCATTTATCATGTGCCACAGTGCTGCATCTTATGTTAATAGGGCATGGCGTTTTTATTATATATTTTCAGATTTTTATTGTTTATTTTACACATTTTTGGTGAAAATATCACAAGTGTAGCTTGTTTTGGTGGAAAGCATAAATACTGTTTAAATAAAGTGTGAAACTTGAACTGTGAATAATTAAACACCCCCAGCCAATCATTTAAATCAAATTAAGTGATGAATATGAATGTCTTTACTGTAATTTGTCTTTTAAAACAGATGTGTTCAGAAAGAGGGACCAAGCACAACAGGGAATGGCGACATTTCAATATGACGATGTAAGTCACAAAAAACATTCGAGAATGTAATGTTCACTTCAGAATTGTGTTTTTGTTTTGAAATAACTGTCTCTACAATGTAACCTATAAGTCGATATGTGACCGATAGAAAAGACAAAATTCGGATTGTTAAGTTTGATTTGCCATGGTTATATCACGGTAAAGTTAAAGTGCAAAAAGTGGTTTGGGTTCCTTTCTAGTGTTGATTTTACATATGGATATGTAAACCTCGAACCATCTTCTGTATATGTATAATATACCTTTTTCAGACAAAAAGGGATTCTTAGGGTGCTTTCACATCTGTAGTTTGCTTCATTTGGTCTGGAGCAAGGACAATAAATGATGCATTGTTGCATTTTCTGCCGTCTTTAAGTCGTTTTCACACCCCACTGCTGGCTTTGGTCCGAACCAGTTGAAACGAACCAAAATGCAGTCATCTGACAAAATCCACATCTCTCATTGGCCAGATGTTGTTGAACGTATTTCCTAAACTGCTTATTGATTGGTCAGAATTCAGGTACGGGAAAATGCCAATAAACTCCCGCAAGTAAACAAACCGGCAGACACAAAATGTCGCTTTTACTCTTGAGGGACGACTGCGCTGACTGATTTTATCCCTGCTTTAGACAAACTATACATTTTGAGAATGAAGCGCGGCCGCAACTGGAAAACAGTGTTTTAATGCATCGCACGTCAAGGAGGAGGCTTGAGTTAATTTAGCTAAACTGCGACATGGTCATCTTGCGGAAATATTACCAACGATCCATCAGGTAATGCTTTTCCCCCTCTCTCTCTCTCTCTGTTGGTAAAGCGCTGTCAACCAATATTTTTCCTCCATATCCCATAATGCACAGCGCATCGGCCTACGGCAGCAGGATTAGTCCAAAAGGCGCAGTACTTTTTGCGGTTGGACCTATATTAGTACGAATCATATTCTCACCACAAACGAAACGCTCCAGGGTTCATTTAAAAGCGTACCGAGACCACCTCTTCAAGCAGGTCTCGGTACGCTTATTTGGTCCGGAAAAGGGAAAATGAACTCTAGTGCGATTCAACCGAACTACATAAGGCAGGTGTGAAAGCACCCTAATTTAGCAATCTAATTTAGCAATCTTTATTGAAATATTAAACCTGTTGACATTTCATAAATTCAAATTTTATAATTTCTTATGTCTTGCCCTTCATTAGGCAGTGTATGCTTGTTTGAAATGATATGACAAAGTCATGATAACAACAGTTTTTGTTATTTTAACTTGATTTAATAAGTTCCACAAAGTGTAACCTAATATGTTTAGTCAGTTTGACTGATCAGTTGAGACAACTAGAACATTTTATTTGATTCAGCTAGGAACAATTCAGCCAGCAACAATTTTCTACAGTGTATAAATGATTGTAATTTATTTCTTGTGTCTCCTCTCACAGTTCATCCACTGCACCATGAGCATCTAAGAGAAGCCTTGGGATTCATGCTGAAGGATGCAAAATAAAAAAAGCAAACAAACATGTGCTTTAGTTTTCACTATAAAGTATACATTTTTTCAACAGCCACTTGTCATATCTGTAACAATATTGTAGTAATTATGCAACATATTACTTAGATTTAAAACATTATTGTTTTCATGAAGTTAGCTATGCCAATAAATTACTTAAATGTACAGGATCATATATAAAAATGTAATCGTATAACCTATATAAAGGATAGTTTAACACCATTAGTTGCACTATAGCATTCAACCTGTGGAACTTTATCAGGGCATTTATATATTTCCATGACTTGTTTGAGTGTCTTAATCTGATGTGGGTTGTTATGAGCAGCTTGTAATTGTGACAAGTGCTAAACTTCTAATCAACATACAAGTGCTTTTAAATGGAGTTAAATTGTATGTAACGCCAAATAATTAAGGATTCAACTTTATTTTTGTGATCTGTTTGTATACATTTTTCATTTAATACGAAATAATTACTTTGAAATAACACACCAGCTAAGACATTCTCTGTTTGGCTTCATGAATTACAGCATAACACCATCATAGTGCTTTGTAACATCTTTGTGTTTCACGATCTTTAAACAGACCATGATATGAATGTTGAATGTGTTTGTGTTGTTTTTAGTCTTTTCCAGAAGGCAGTTGTACACAACAGTTAGACTGGTTTGATAATCTCCTTGTGGTAATCTGTTGACTAAATATAGCTTAGCAACTACTAGCAGTAGTAAGTAGGAATTAGTAGACAGTCTGCTTGATAACTGGGAACTCTACACTTTACATGACATGAATTGGTATGATATACAGCAAATATATAATATACAGTAAACTAAATCTATTTTTAATGTAAAATAATGCAAATTGATAAAAAGTGATAGGAAAAAAATAATTGTCTTACTAATAGTTGTTTAAATTATTGTTACACCTTTTTTTTTTTTAAACCACAACAGATTTGACTATAACAGATGCTAACCTCAAACCAGATGCCACGTGGCATGTCTAAAGTGCAATTCTATGCATTTTAATATCTATATACAGTGCATCCGAAAAAATTGGATAGCACTTTACTTTTTCCACATTTCTTTGTTACAGTCTTATTCCAAAATGGATTAAATTCATTTATTTTCTCAAAATTCTACACACAATACCCCATAATGACACTGTGAAAAAAGAGTTTTTGAACTTGCTGAAAATATATAAAAAATGAAAAACCTGAAAAATCTTATAAACAGAAGTATTCACAGCCTTTGCCGTTAAGCTCTAAATTGAGCTCAGGTTTATTCTGTTTCCACTGATCCTTCTTGAGATATTTCAGCAGCTTAATTGGAGTTCAGCTGTGGTAAATTCAGTTGATTGGACATGATTTGAAAAGGCATACGCCTGTCTATATATATATATATATATATATATATATATATATATATATATATATATATATATATATATATATGCATGTCAAAGCACAAACTAAGCATGAAGACAAAGGAATTGTCTGTAGACCTCAGAGACAGGATTGTCTCGAGGCACAAGGCTGGGGAAGGTTACAGAAACATTTCTGCTGCTCTGAAAATTCTAATGAGCACAGTGGCCTCCATCATCCGTAAGTGGAAGATGTTTGGAACCACCAGGACTCTTCGTAGAGCTGGCCAGTCATCTAAGCTGAGTGATCGGGGGAGAAGGGTCTTAGTCAGGGAGGTGATCAATAACCTGATGGTCACTCTGAGCTCCAGCGTTCTTCTGTGGAGAGAGGAGAACCTTACAGAAGGACAACCATCTGTGCAGCAATCCACCAATCAGACCTGTATGGTAGAATGGCCAGACTGAAGCCGTGCCCCACCTGGAATTTGCCAAAAGGCATCAGAAGGACTCTCAGACCAGAAGAAACTAAATTCTCTGGTCTGATGAGATTAAAATTGAACTCTTTGGAGTGAATGCCAGGCGTTACGTTTGGAGAAAATCAGGCACCGCTCACCACCAGGCTAATACCATCCCTACAGTGCATGGTGGTGGCAGCGTCATGCTGTGGGGATGTTTTTCAGCAGCAGGAACTGGAAGACTAGTCAGGATAGAAGGAAAGATGAATGCAGCAATGTACAGAGACATCCTGAATGAAAACCTGCTTCAGAGTGTTCTTGACCTCAGACTGGGGCGACGGTTTAACTTCCAGAAGAACAATGACCCAAAGCACACCGCCAAAATATCAGTCGAGTGGCTTCACAACAACTTGGCAAATGTCCTTGAGTGGCCCAGCCAGAGCCCAGACCTAAATCCTATTGAACATCTCTGGAGAGATCTGAAAATGGCTGTACACCGTCACTTCCCATGAAACCTGAGAGAGTTTGAGAGGTACTGCAAAGAGGAATGGGGAAAAATTCCCAAAGACAGGTGTGCCAAGCTTGTGGTATCATATTCAAAAAGATTTGAGGCTGTAATTGCTGCCAACATCAACAAAGGATTGAGCAAAGTCTGAAATATTGATGTACATGTGGCTTCTCAGGTTTTTTAATTTTTAATAAATTTTCAACAATTTTCAACAATTTCAAAAACTCTATTTTTACATTGTCATTATGGGGTATTGTGTGTAGAAATAAATAAATCAATTTAACCCATTTTTGAATAAGGCTGTAACACAAAAAAATGTGGAAAAAGTGAAGAGCTATCAATTCTTTCCGGATGCACTGTATATGCAGTGAGGGACCCCGCTTTCACTCTTGCGGGTGGACCCACGCAGTCTGCGCAATGTCACTGGGTAAGGTTAGGGTTGGGGTTAGGTGTGCGGATTAAAAACACGAGGATAAAGAAGGAGCCTCCTCCATATGGCATTTACTTTCACCTTCTTTTACGTGGATAAGGAAACAGGTAGGGCGCACTCACTAAAGACATTCATAAGCCTATACATAATTAATTTAGTTTGTTAAGCGCAAAGATTTGTTTCAAAACTGTTTCTAAATTCAGTTCTAATTTCCAGCAAACGAATAAATGAACAGTAATACCAAAGTGTGTTAAAAAAAAAAAGAGTTTAATCCGAACATACATCCTATGGTCCAAAACCTAACAGGTGGACAAATCTAAGCTTGTTTTTAGTAAAACAAATATAAATATGCATTTAATAAATAACATTACTACTAATAATCACATTATACATGTCACATAACCAGCGATCGATCTCAAGAGATCGCTGGTTCTCAAGCGAACTCTCAGGATTACACTTCCGCATTCCCCAGGACTACACATTCATACATGCACTTCTCCCAGACACACACGCCTGCTCATTCATCTAACTTGATTCCACTCACCAGCTGAACCCTGTCAGAGACTGATAACACACCATACATAATCCACTCATTTACTCCCCCTGGTTGCCGAGTCTTGTTAGCTGTTTCAGTTGCATTACAAAGCGTTTCTCCCTGTCTTGTTTCTCCATGTTAGACTCTAGCCTTGTTTACCTTTGTTCTCCTGTTTAGCCGCCTGCCCTTTTGACCTGTTGCCTGTTTATATCGACTACGATTCTGGACTGCCTTAATATATCTGTTTGCACCTGAATTGACCATCGCTTGCCTGACTTTGAATAAACCTGCATTTGGATCCTACCTCCTGTTGTCTTCTGTCACTCCACCCCAGTCGTTACAATACAAAAGCAAATTGTCGTGGATAAACTGAAAAAGCCCAGCGAGGTGAAGAAGGCCTGGAGGCGGTGGTTTTTATATTTATGTACAAAAAAATATTGTAAAAAATATTTTAATCCTTTAGTTCATATGTAAAGATATTTGTGTATTGCTGTGCATCCTGTGTGTTTTAAGCAATGTTTAAGCGGCGCAGAACTGACGCGCTCTGCGATGGACTTTAAACCTTCTCTCAGCTGGTCTATTGCACAGTCTATTTCAGTTCCTCAAAATAACAACACACCAGTGGACCCTAACACGCCTCTTTTCTGGACCAGAACACCTATGAGTCCACAAAGTGGCACAAATGCATTTGCTATTTAAACAATGTGGCGGAAAACTAAGGTTGCGTTGGTCTGAAAATAGCAACACGTCGTGGAAACATGTCTTGTGCCTTATTGTGCCGGCTGTATAAAAGGGCCCAAAGTGTTATACTGTGTCCGAAAAAACGTCACGATGCACTCCCAATTAATTGGTAAAGTCTTTAATCTAATAAATACATATTAAATGCATATTAAACCTCTAACATATACTAAGTGTATATTCTGAGTAACTGAGATTGTTGGTTTATACTCAGTCACAGTTCTGACTTTTCATTTTCTGTTAGTTATTTTATTTTCAAAATCTGTGGCAAACTATGTTACTGCTTTGAGTAGTATGGCAATGCTTTAATGAATATAGCATAAAATGATATTTAAACTCATATTGGAAGTTAATGTTGAATAAAGCACATAATCTGTACCTGAGGGGATCATTGTTTTAGTAGTAGCTTATGCTGTTGCTGTGTTAGAAATGGTTTCTAAAATTAATATTTTATGCGTTGCCATCGCAGATGATTAGGACAAAAACACCTTTTAACTTGTTGCGTCGCTTGTCGTTAGGACATGGTGTAAGTTGACATGCAGTTGCATAATAGTCATGCTTAAAAGAGACCATCAAATTCAAGTGTATTAGGCTCGCTTCTGAAATGCAATATTTGTTTGTTTGCTAGTGAGAGTTTAAGAAATGGAAACTCATGAGAAGTATGTGGTCAGTTTGGGGAATGGAAAAATTAGTCATAGTTTAGTCCAGAAACAACCACAAACACACATAGGAGACAGGTGCATACACACAACAACAAACGTTTTGATGAACACGCAGCGAAACCGCAATGAACTATGATGATAGTTGAGAAGAGGTATTGCTGTTGTCGTGAAATGCACTTTTTCTTTTAAACAAAACAAAGGGAAGTTTTACCTGTCAACAACATTTTCCCAGACATATTGAATATCCAGGTCGTCTTTAGTAGACTTGAGACCCAATATTTTTGGTTATACTTTATATGAAGGTGATGCAATGTAGTAAAGAGTAAGATTGAATCATTTTCCTTCAGCTTAGTCCCTTTGTTCATCAGGGGTTACCACGGTGGAATGAACCGCCAACTTATTCAGAATATATTTTACGCAACGGATGCCCTTCCAGCTGCAACCCAGTAGTGGGAAACACCCATACACACTCATTCACACACATACACTACGACCATTTTAGTTTCTTCAATTCACCTATAGCGCAGGTCTTTGGACTGGGGAAACCGGAGCATCCAGAGGACACACACACCAACATGAGGAGAACATGCAAACTCCACACTGAAACGCCAATAGACCCAGCCAAGCTGGAACCAGCGACCTTCTTGCCGTGAGGCGGCAGTGCTAACCACTGACCCACCATGTCACCTGAGTAATATTAATTTATTAATTATATTCTTACTTAAATTAAGGTTTAGTGTTAGTTATTCATAGTGTCTAATTACTATAACTATGGAACGGTGACGCAGTGGCAGTAGTAGTGCTGTCGCCTCACAGCAGGAAGGTTGCTGGTTCAAGCCTTGGCTGGGTCAGTTGCCGTTTCTGTGTGGAGTTTGCATGTTCTCCCTGTGTTCGCGTGGGTTTCCTCCGGGTGC